CTAACAATTGTGTGCTGGCCATCGATTTAACGAAAAGCCACCGACAGCTTAGACCTCAACCACAGAATCGAATGTCCTATTCATCTATACCAACCTAATGAATTCTAAAAAAGGAGGAATGGTCTTATATGACAAAGCTTTCTAGGATCCAACCACATCCTGATCACCAGTTATCGCCTCTTCACACATTTGATCTCATAGGAGAGCAGTCGAAACAGTTTTTCGTGTTTGTTCATTCATCTTCCTTATAATTCCTAGTGCAAAGACAGCGAGTTCCTGGCCTTCAGTTTTTCAGTCAAGCCGAGGCAATATTCGGTCTGTACATTCTCTTCTACCCTCAACTAGAGTGATATCAGACTAGAATTTTTAAGGAATTTGAAAATATTTCTCTCTCTTCCAATGGACCTTCTCAAAAGTCGGTAGGTAGGTAGGTAGGTGGCAGTTTGCAGGTTCACTCCACGCTTACTTACACAATTGATTATGATTCTTGGGTTACCATATGTCCATACTCCAGCAGTATCAACCTATGGCTAAGCAAATTTACCACGTTCCAACAGCAAGTATTCATGGCTTGTGCACATGCTTCATGCTGCGCTTGTAAATCGCGTGCTCATTCAGGGCGTTTTCTGTTGTGATCGTGATACATTTGCAGCGAATACATCGGTGGCATCAAGGGAGACAACAATAACAACAACCGGAATAGCATAGACGATAACAAAAACAATGAGGGACCTAAAGATTTCAGTCATTTCATATGCCGGGCTCATTCGAATTACCATAAGCGGCAGATGTTCGCGAACCTTTTTGTTTACTCTGAAAAACGTACTTACGATTTATTTAATGGTCCAACCTTTACCACAATGGAGAGGTCAGCTAAGTAGGTTGGCTGTAGTGTATCACTACTTTGTAAACATTCTGGTGTATAGTGATTGTAGGTGTGGTGGGAGCTTCAATCAACGCAGGACCATTATATCTGTGGGAGAGGCGTAAATGAATGAATCCGTTTGAATCTCAGCTTGAATAAAAACAGAGTACGTTGGAGAACCACGTATAGCAATTATCTCGAAGTTACCCCCAAAAGAAGAGAGGCTAATCTCAAGAACAGCTTACTGTGAGACTCTCGTAGGATTCTCTGTCACTGGGGATTCCACTGTCCAAGCAATCAATCGTTTCTCATAAAGGAAACTCCTCATAGGGTTGTGCAAAACTCTTCAATAGCCCACGACCCCTTTCGCCCTTCTTGGGGCTTATCAGGTAGGCGCAGTCTCCGAGTTTCCGTCAACCTTACGTTCTACTGGAACCCAAATTGGATTGTTTCTGACGGACATTTGACAACGGCTGATTGCACTACTTAAGACTGCCTTGTAATAAACTATAGAATACAGTTATTTCGACAAATTGACAACAAATTTTGGCCCTAATGGCATTTCGCATACTTGGCACGTAGCACGATGCCTCATAAGGCATTTTTGTGAAAAACCGAAATTCTCACGGGAAACTGCGGTGGCTGACGCTTATTCAAACTACAACTTTTCGAATTTTTTTCTCGTTTTCAGGTCATCCAGTCCAACCGTTTTATCGGTGTGATACCGGCGTTTCATTGACTCAGCGTTCTTATGTTTAGCTGAACAGTGCTTTTGCGACTGTTAGATTATTTTAGTCATATCTGGACAGTTGCTGCGGCCAAAGACCGAACAATTTGCACGGGGCTTTTCGATGAAAATAACCAGTAGTATATCGGACCAAAGCAACTCCTTGTGTGCGATGTGTCCACCTTGAATGGGAACCACCGTGCGTACATAAAGTTCCCCACGTTACTTGTTTCGTATTCGAATACGAGTGGGACGTAGAATCACTGAATCCAGTTCATATGAAAAGATGCTTGAATACGAGGCTCATGCGCTTGAACAAATCCATATGCTTCCCGCACTAATTGCCATTTGGCTTCATGCGTCTATGGACCATGCTCAGATCACTCAATACACGGTAAAAACCGCTGTACACAATTGATGCTGGAAATAGTTAATTAGACTGAGTAACAGCTTCAAACACCTGCTTAAAGGTCTGGGTTGAGAAACCTCTTGTTCCTTAGCCAGTTGTACTGCGGCACTTCATGTTCTTTGCCAATTACTATCCTTGTATTGGTTTGATGTAATGAATGGTACTGTACCTTCATATTAAGCGTCCTTAAGCAATTTTTGATAAGATCTCTGCCAACACGCTTCATGTTCCTTTCGAGAATGTTTAGCCTAGCGGATGGTTTTGATTATGACCTATCTGCAGCTTGACAAGTTGGCTAGCTCGTGGAAGCAGACAAATGAATAACCATAGTCCATTAGCTGTCAAATTTGACTACATGGTGGTCAGGTATTTTTTTGGAAATCCCAGTTGTCCACAGTACCTGTCAACTAATCAAAAAAATCCCTTTAAGCAGATAATGTCCAAAAAGCCACAAGCATTGATGTTTGTGCTTTTAGCTTGTCTGCTCTCCTCAATGATTGATCTTGAGCGGATGGAAACTGGACTACCGTTGACCCCAAAATGAACCGTAAGCAATTTACACTGGTTGATGAGTACATGCATCCGCTGGGAATAGTCCACTTTTCAAAAGCAGTTATCTCTGGTACCTTGATCTTGGTAACGTCATAGAGGTCAGATTCGTCTTTATCTCAGCAGCTACGCCGTACTCCAAAACAAAAGAATGGATGTAACTGTCCAATGATACGAGTCTTACACAGCAGTGCCGTCCATGGATTTTACTTTACACTCTTTTAATTGGTTCATTCATCTAATTCTTCACCTGATTATCCGGAGCACCGAAATATTGCCGAACATTGAGAATTCTCTGCCGTGAAATAAATCCATTTTGTGTGAAGAAAAAAGCCATTTTTCACCTCCCCCCATCTAGAATTTTACGCTTTCACTGAGAAGTTGACGAGCAAAACTTTCATCCCTAGATGCGGTGTTTGTATTCCTTTATAGGCCAGTCTTAACCGAAAACCTAGTCGCTCAAATAAGTAGCGGTGTTCATTACCACACAGCCTCTACTGAGTTAAAGTAGCCAATGGGCAACTATTATCCCTTTCTCATTCAGGAGACTGACAATGTTCCAGTTTCCGCCAAGTCTGTCTTGAAGCAGTCCATAGTGAAAGCATTTTGCGTAAATTTGGCTGTCAGTCTGCCTGTGTATTATCGGAGGACAGACAGGCGGCAGCCTCCTACAAAACACTCGTCGTATAGGAGAATCTGTTCATTCCCACTGAACTCCTAACGTCGACGTCGTGAACTGGGTCAAATCCTGACTGGTTTCCACTGTTACGCGTTTAGGTAAACACGGTTGTTCGTAGCTACATAGGGTGTAGAGTTGCAAGACAGCTGACCTAGTTTACCACATCAGGTTCATGGTCCGTCAGAACAAAGCGACAAAGGCACTTTATCTCTGTGTGTCGTTATGCTGGTGTGTGTGACGGAGTGGAAGGCGGAGTCGATCACTCATCCGCGGAATTATATATGGTTCAAGCGGAAAAGAACTTACTATGACTGAGTACAATAGTGCAAGTATCCGTAGGTCCAAGACGTGGAATGCATGATAATTTGACTACAGTCTCCCGTAGAGAGGAGCCGCGTGGGGATTTAGAATGCTGCTTCTAATAAGCAATCGTTCATGGGTAACAGATAAGATCCTTTAGAGTTGCTATGTAGGAGAGACAACATTATGTTCCCAGAGGTAATGAATAGCAGGTGTGTTTTATAAGACTAAAGTGTGGCAAACCATACAGTAGAGAGTGCGTGAATCGCCTTCCATTCAGAAGCTACTTCTACCAATTTCTACTAGTCATTTCATGCCGCTCCAGTGCTTTCAGGTTGAGACCGGAGCGTGCACTACCCCGGATGTATTAATAATGCCTACAGAAAATACCGCGTCACACGTAAAACACATCTTAACATGTTCCGATTGGAACTCACGCGAAAAACAATCGTTATCCTTCTCTGTGACAGCACCCATGTATTCGGCTTATCGATTTGAGCAAAACTAGTCTTTTCTTGCTCTCACAATGAGTACACTCAACAGTGAGTAGGTACTGACGATATCGCAGTGTGATATAGACATTGAGCCTTACGAATTACTGTAGTACCCGCATGGTCTCACCTGGCGTCAGTCCCGAGCTCACCCAATAGTCAGGCTAGTTCACTGCAGACCTTTTAGCCGCTAAGTTTCCTGGGTATTTCGAATGCATTTCAATGATTGGTATCTTGAAATTAAGTGTCACCTATAGTCCCCTCGCTGCCTAGTTCCAGCTGAGGTGACTGGTATTCGTCCGGAACTGCACCAGAAAGCTTGCCCTTTTGACAACTTCAGACCGATCCTGGTGATAACGGTTCCAGGTAATATCCCCTCCCCCCAGAGGTGAACATCTTACAAATCATCATTGCTTTCATCTCCACGATGCATTCTTTTCTCGGGTTTCTCTTGAGGTGCTTTTCGGAGGAAATGTGGCATCATACCCTGTACACCGCATGCAGGTTCCTTTAAAAGATCACATCAAGTATGGGATGTTGTGTGTCAGGCGTTTCCTAGTTTCTAATCACATTTTGATATTGGTGAAATTTCCGGCTTCTTTGAGCCAGCAACTATCGTTAACCATGAACGGATCATTCAGTGTTCGTCCAACATGGTATGCGATCAAGTATTGTGGAAGGTAAAATTCGTTGAGGCTATTGTATCACTAAAACGAGAGACCCGTTGCTGTACTAGGATAGCTACAACCGAGATGAAATCCTTCACTGATGCGATATTTCAACAGACAGACCAAAACTTACTGTCCTCAATCTAGATATCAGCTGCGTTTGCAGAAGCAACCCATGCATTGGACGCGCTACACTGCATTGATAGAAAGCAACAAAACGTACGCAACGATATTGTTTTTATAGTGGTTTTTCCCAATTACTTACTAATCCACCTTCTAATGTAGTAATCTTGGTAATTTGTTCAACCTCAGGAACAGCTTCAGCAGGCAGCTGACCAGCTAAGGACGCAGTTGCGTATCACAGATGACATTCAACTAGAAGAACCACATCATACATCCGAAGACCATAGAGTACCACAGGAGCCAGAAGTGAAAAGCACAAACGGAGACGAAACAGGACGACTTTTAAGCAGTCGACAGTCGGGAGGAACAGATTTTGGCTACTGTACATCACCTTTAGACCCGTTGCTGGCTGCTTCTCCGTCGCTATCGACACGTCCTCCCGTCGCTCCGATACGTGACAACCGAAAGCCTGGGTCACCTTCCATGGTCAAACACTCTATCTCAAAGAAGTGTACAGAAAGCAAGCGGAAGACACCAGAAGTAGACGCACCAAAAAGAACAACTGTAGGTGCCAAGGAAAGCAGCCCCAAAGTCGAGTCAAACATTGAGACTGGTGCTCAACGATACTGTGGTGAAAACCCAAAAATGAAGAAACTACCAGGAAGTGATCAGTCGTAAGTCCATTCCAAGTAATTTATGAGTGCATCATAAGTTTTTTTCGTTTAGACAGTGTGAAGACGACTTTGAGTTTGTAATCGGTCTGGTTTCAACATGAAAATCCGCCGTTTCCCACTTACGGTACAATATTTATAAGTAATTTCTTAAGTCCCTTAATTCACTTCAAAACGTGATGAAATTTATCATATGTATCTAGCAAACGATTGGCCCAATTGATCTCTGTCTTTAAATTCGTTCGCGGAGAAACTGAAGTATTTTGATGTTTTTCTCCTGAAGCAACTGATATCATCTGCTGTTAACTGTGTCTACCTATTGCGATAGACGGTTGCATGAACATGCAACTGGTTCAATTCGGTGTGTTCGTGTTCCCAACATAAGCCCAAGGTTGACCCCCCAAGGTTAGTCAGTTCTTCGAAACAATAAACCAAAAACGACAGTGAGACAAGAGTGAAATCTTCAGCGCTACGGAGTCTTTGACTTAAATGGTGACTTCACTCTTGCATCAGAGGGGCTAAGCTGCAAGGTAGGGCGCGAAGCCTGTGGTACTTTGGGTAAGTGAATTTCCATCCATAATGCGGATTTGAACGTAGCAACCAATATGTTCGGCACGTTCTTCTATGGGTAGTTTCAAATCTGAATACAGTAAACACGCCTTCAGGGGCCACTATTAGTGAAGGCCTTCGCTGCGGAGTTGTTTATTGGAGAGATACCAATGGAACAGGTACAAACTATTAGACAGAAAAGTAAAACTCCCATATGCATCATGTCCACAAAACGGAATATCCATCTTCTCCTTGAACGCGTCTTTCCGAACTTTCCTGGATATTCACTGCCTGTTACTCAAATGCAAGCAAATGCTACAAAGTTACTCCACAATTCCGTAACAGATCTCACTTTTCAAGAGACACGAAGCGGATTTACGAGAAAACACTACTCGCATACCTCATCAGTAGTATCCACGTTACACTAGTATGTCATTCCGGACGGACAACGGCTTTCGTCCTTCACTTTAGCGGACAAAACACAGAGATAAGGTAGAGACTAGTAGTTAGACAGCAGACTCTGTTGGTAATCTTTCCAAGGGCAGCTATCAACTCAAACGCGTACTCTTTATAATACAGAGCTCTCGGAAATTGTTTAGCGAATTCGGTCCCTGTTACGTACTTAACTTTTGGATAAAGTAAAAGTGATTTCCTTGAGAGAAGCTTGTTGCGAGAAAACAAAGGTCTTTTAAATTCGGGTGTATAAGAATCACGGTATATGAAACGAGGTTTAACCTAGCAATTACAGAACTGCAGCTTACGTTGAGTTGCATATGCTGCTCAGGTTACATTCATTTGCTACTTTGTCAAGATTTTCGGTTATTCTGAGTGATAGTTCAATAAAAAGGACGCTATATACAGCATTCAGAGTGATGAAGGTTGGTGAGGCAATGTATGTGATTTATTATCTGATGTGTTGTTTAAACAGCCATTTTTAGTTTTCGGTGACAAACTTTTTAAAACAAGGAGAACACTCTATATGACCAATTGGCTACCCATGTTAACGCGATATACAGATTAATCTTCCTGCTTACTCTGACCGATCTGTATGAGACGATAAGCTTCGACTCATCGGGATCAGTTCTCAGATGAAATGAGTGTGAAAGGGCGTGCAAACGTCTGCGTCATTCGTTGGTTTTGAGAGTGCGCAACTTGAGTGAGAAACAGGCCGTTATAACCAAAACAGCAAACTTCAATTACGACTAAAAATAGTAAGTGCGGAAAAAACACGGAATTCGCCACAACAGAAAACAGCGCAGAAAACACCGTTCTCTCATGACAAGTCAGGCCGGGCTAAACAAATCCGTCACATTAGGGCCAATGAAACCTTTGAATAACCTAATTATCCAGAGGCAATTTCTCAGCTAGCCAATGCATATTGAACAAAATGTTACAGCACCTTGGCAATCAGGTGAACGAGGATCGGTGTGTTTCTTAAAAGCCTCTACTGTGCAGGTAAACCATTCGCCGGATGCAAGCTGGACATCACGCGTGGACTCTGTATCAATAGGCTCTTGACATCTCTATGAATGGTGCTTATTTTACTCGGGATAGACCAGTGTGGTTGGTTTCCCATCGGCTCAGTCATCTGAAGTTTAGATAAAGTCCACGTTGATAAAACAATTCCACGACGAAGCTTACCAGGATGGACACTTGGAACTACGACGAGACGTGACAGTCCATTGTATACGAAACGGGATCACTGAGGCCAACGTGTTATCTTGATGGACGTGTTCCCTTGATTCTATATAGATGCATTCCATTGATATTGCTTCATCGGTAATTCAGAAGTTATTCCAAAGTAGATGTGATCCTGCCAATCTAACATCTTCATGATTTTTTCCGATTAGCTAGTGCTTCTTTAACAGAGCAGTTCCGTCCCTGATGTCCTGCTACGAATAAACGGTGACATAATTAGACTGTACAGTGTGACAGCGAAGCCAGCCAATCCGGTTTTATTATATGGTCACTAGAAAGCTTGTGTAATAAGGACCTGGAATGTGAATTTTCTCCGGCCAACTTAGTTTCTCCGTAAAACATCCCTGGCATTGAGCAATGGACTCATACTAATGCAACTTTCCCAATCAGTCCCATAGAATAACATCCTTCGAGGTAGGAGGATGACATGACGATGTTTCCCATCAGCCATGATCTCGTTTATGACTTCTCCGATAAAGGCCACTCCCAAGAGAGGCCACGCAATTTCTTTCATGTGATGGTCTCCTAAGGTGTGATTACTGTATCCGTGAATAGTTTGGTAGCTCTCACCAAGTTTTCTGACAATGACTCGGCCTCTGTTTGATTTTTCAAACCCACATTTGGAGTAACCCGAATTGTTCTTATTCCAGAAATGAAGGGCATACACACTCAACTAATTCTGATGCTCACTGGAGTGAAGGCGCGTCGCCACAAGACCACTCATACCACGAAGATACACTCAACGATCCAACTACAATGCCCAATATGTCTAGCTCAGTTCAACCGGCTGATCTATCTGAGTTAGCCGATTCCTGTGATCTTGGTGACGAACAACCGCAATCCTACAGCTTCCAGTTTGAGGATGATGAGTTGGGAAAGTCGCCGGAAAACAAACCGGACATTCTTCCCACTGACCTAACGCCAGCCGACGAACCTTTCGTGGTTTCGCGCACCAAACACACCCGTGTGACCTTTGCCTCAGAGGCTGAATTCTTCTCCATTCCCACTGGTAATGATTCGACAACATCGCTTAGCAGTCTTACCAACCTAACTAGACTTATGTCGCCTGATCTTATGAGTCCATCAAAAAGTGAACTTGACGCGTCCTCGCTGCAAGCTATCGCGGAAGGTGATTCGAATATTACTGTAGATATCGAGCAGGATAAAGAACATACGGCAGCTGCGTACAACAGCGAGATCTTACTAAAGAACGACGAATTTTCTTCGGGCTGAATTCAACAGGGTGGAATACGATAGCCAATATGTTATTGGTTTTTTAATTGAGTTTCTCAAGGTCCCATTTTTCCGCTTATTTTTCGGTAAAGAAAAGAAACTACTTTGTGTCTCGCAATCACTATTCAGACACAATTTACTCTTCTTTAACAAACCTTATTAGAAAGGTCGTTTCGATTTTCAATTTAGTGGACGTAACGATCAATGGTCATTCGCTTGGAGGTCCAAAGTTACCTGGTAACCACGGGGTTATTGGGTGCTGAAAAATATATACTAGTTTGTTCTTTGCCCAGTTTATTCGTAAAAGCACTCCAGGTGGTTCATATATATGTTGCAGTTGATGAAAAAGAGTTGGCAAAAGCAGCTTCATGCTACACCCACCGAGACACTGGGTGCAACGACATAGTCCGAGAGGCATGAATGGAGGTGCGAACACCAGTGTTTATACATTCTTAGAAACCCTCTTGTTAGAAATGGGAAGCCCGAGCATGCGCAGCACAAACGAAAACTCCTAGGGAGAGATGGAACCTTTGACCTGTACTTATCGGAATGAGCTACCTAAAATGATTGTTCCCTACCTCCGCTGTCAAGCACTTCAACTTCACAGATCAGCTACCACAGTTTTGCCCAGTGAACCAACGGTTACTATCTGTTAGTATCATTGATGAGCTAATTGAGTGACTTCCACAGCAGGTCACACGTCAATGTCGTCCAAATACCTAAAGGAATCTGTTGCCTGCTGTAGGTGCACTTATACTTACCCAAATATCTACGAAGTCCCCTTCAAACAAATTACATCAGAACCTTTTGGTTCATTGTGGAAATCACACACGGGGCTCACTGACGACACTGACAGATATCACGGGAAAAGTTGTGGCGAATCCTCTGCGAAGCTCCAGTGCATGGGCGTAACCAAGGGGTTGGCGTCTGTGGTAACCCATTCTGGAGAGCGTTCGTCTTGGTTGATGGCTTTGTGGGCACGTGGACTTCTCACTTCCGCGTTTGTGTATTGGGTTCTTCCAGTAAACAATTTCGGATATGAGGATTTGCCATTTTTAAAAATTGGGTACAAACAGTAGCAATTCTTCTGATAAACACACTCGCATGCATACTAATTTGGTTTCCACTGGAGGCTCATCTGAATCCAAGCTGAATAACTCGTTTATATTTTTTAGCTGAGTCCGCTGCAAAAATCATAGGTCCCAGGAATAAAAAAACAGAGAATCGCCACGTGTCGCTCTAATCAGTGGACTAGTATTGTCAAGAATCGGGAAAACGGTCTGTGTGGAGCAGACGGATTGAAATGGAAACAAGCGATTGCACAGTGATCAAATGAGAGCAGAAGAGTCAGCTGAATATGCAGACGGGTGAGTTAAAAGGAGGTCAGCGTCGTGGTCTGAAATTCGAATGAAACAAGTTCGAGACAAAGAACTGCCGATCGTAAAAAATTGTGCGCCTGGGCCGAGTGTGTCTGTATCTGATCAGAAAGCTAGCCAACCAGTGTTGTCTACAATGAAACTGCTGAAAATACAGAGTTTCGCGGTGGGATCGGACCGTTGAACGCGTCACCGTTAATGCCAATGTGTGAACAATATACATATAAAAATGGTTGCTAGTAAAGTGGATGGTACATCTGGCTTAAATATTGAAAGTCAGGAAAATGGCCGCTGCAGAAGAGCAATAGGAAGGTAGACAGGAAGGACTAAAAGCACGCCGAAACCCCATCCTCAAAAAATAAGTGAAGCAAGCAATAAGTACAAAACGAGAGAGACGTGTGCTTATCATTGCCGGAAATTTGTTGTCATGGTGAACAGAACAGATTAGACAGGTGGTAAAAGGTAATATACTGAGTCATCATCAATGTTCCAGTGACGATATTGCGGCGCGTGAATTTGAATCTGTAAAGGTGGGCAGCGACGTTCCACAGCTTTGTATGCTCACATCTATGTGGTGGGTGAAAAGCCAGGATACCAACCTAGAAAACTGGGGTGGCCAGTTGTATATGCCCTCTATGGTTTGGGTGGTATTAATTCCCTAAAAGCAGCCCGAGCCACTTACCAGGAGTCAGATAGCCATATGTTATTCCTCGCATCCACAAATCAGGACACATCTCGCCCGCAGCCAAAAAAAGAGTCGAACGATCCAGGTGTTGGATCCAAGCAAAAAGCTCCGGGAAAAAATTGGCTTTGTATAGACGTAATACACTAGTGATGAGACTGTTGAAGACCTAAAGGAATCTGTTGCCTGCTGTAGGTGCACTTATACTTACCCAAATATCTACGAAGTCCCCTTCAAACAAATTACATCAGAACCTTTTGGTTCATTGTGGAAATCACACACGGGGCTCACTGACGACACTGACAGATATCACGGGAAAAGTTGTGGCGAATCCTCTGCGAAGCTCCAGTGCATGGGCGTAACCAAGGGGTTGGCGTCTGTGGTAACCCATTCTGGAGAGCGTTCGTCTTGGTTGATGGCTTTGTGGGCACGTGGACTTCTCACTTCCGCGTTTGTGTATTGGGTTCTTCCAGTAAACAATTTCGGATATGAGGATTTGCCATTTTTAAAAATTGGGTACAAACAGTAGCAATTCTTCTGATAAACACACTCGCATGCATACTAATTTGGTTTCCACTGGAGGCTCATCTGAATCCAAGCTGAATAACTCGTTTATATTTTTTAGCTGAGTCCGCTGCAAAAATCATAGGTCCCAGGAATAAAAAAACAGAGAATCGCCACGTGTCGCTCTAATCAGTGGACTAGTATTGTCAAGAATCGGGAAAACGGTCTGTGTGGAGCAGACGGATTGAAATGGAAACAAGCGATTGCACAGTGATCAAATGAGAGCAGAAGAGTCAGCTGAATATGCAGACGGGTGAGTTAAAAGGAGATCAGCGTCGTGGTCTGAAATTCGAATGAAACAAGTTCGAGACAAAGAACTGCCGATCGTAAAAAATTGTGCGCCTGGGCCGAGTGTGTCTGTATCTGATCAGAAAGCTAGCCAACCAGTGTTGTCTACAATGAAACTGCTGAAAATACAGAGTTTCGCGGTGGGATCGGACCGTTGAACGCGTCACCGTTAATGCCAATGTGTGAACAATATACATATAAAAATGGTTGCTAGTAAAGTGGATGGTACATCTGGCTTAAATATTGAAAGTCAGGAAAATGGCCGCTGCAGAAGAGCAATAGGAAGGTAGACAGGAAGGACTAAAAGCACGCCGAAACCCCATCCTCAAAAAATAAGTGAAGCAAGCAATAAGTACAAAACGAGAGAGACGTGTGCTTATCATTGCCGGAAATTTGTTGTCATGGTGAACAGAACAGATTAGACAGGTGGTAAAAGGTAATATACTGAGTCATCATCAATGTTCCAGTGACGATATTGCGGCGCGTGAATTTGAATCTGTAAAGGTGGGCAGCGACGTTCCACAGCTTTGTATGCTCACATCTATGTGGTGGGTGAAAAGCCAGGATACCAACCTAGAAAACTGGGGTGGCCAGTTGTATATGCCCTCTATGGTTTGGGTGGTATTAATTCCCTAAAAGCAGCCCGAGCCACTTACCAGGAGTCAGATAGCCATATGTTATTCCTCGCATCCACAAATCAGGACACATCTCGCCCGCAGCCAAAAAAAGAGTCGAACGATCCAGGTGTTGGATCCAAGCAAAAAGCTCCGGGAAAAAATTGGCTTTGTATAGACGTAATACACTAGTGATGAGACTGTTGAAGATTTCTCGACAGCCCACAACCGGTTTCGCCCTTCTTGGGGCTCATCAGGTAGGCATCGTCCCCGAGTTTCCGTCAACCTTTAGTTCTGCTTGAACCCAAATTGTATGAAACTAGACCTATACACTCATCTGCACGCAAGTTTGGTTTTTGACGGGATACTCACCTGGAACCCAGTTGAATCTCTCGTGGATGGTGTTCTTAAGCAACTGAATGTGCTGCATCAGGCCGCTTCGTGTTTCAGTTTGTATGATATCATACGTCGCTTTCTTGCGGTCTAAACCGTTGAGAAAATGTAAGGTTCCGGGACAAAACCTGTGGTGTCACGCTGCATCGTGAGTCAAAGGCTCAGGTTTAGGTAACTCAGGAAACCCTTTATCTTGTCTGAGCGACCGACGTATAACTTACCTCGCTTACCCACCGTCATTCACATCTTTCATTTGCCATCTGCAGGTTCAGTTATTCATCAGTTACTTTCTAACTAAGCCAATGCTTAACAAGTTTGGAAGCGGAGCAACACCCATCCTTTACTCAAACATTTATGTTGACGTGGATTATGCCTCCAAAACAGGCACACAAAGAAATGAAAAGCCTTTGTTGCTTAGATCCCGATGAGCCCATTTGCCATGCGTTTTGCCCAGTGAAGAAGAACATGACTCAACGGGTATAGGATGCTTGTTTGCCGTAAAATCTTAAAAATAACTAGTGGTCTCGATGGCGCATAGGCTATGCATCCAACTACCCGTGGAATGGCACAGTGCAATTGCGGATTGTGATCAATAATGCTCCTACTGCAGGAAATCGATTCAATCAGACGTCCAGGAGACACTGGATGTCAGTGAAATAATTAATCTAAAAGATTTATCTGAAGCTGTTTTAGGGTCCGTTAATCGCTCGAAACTATGGCCGTATCTTCTAACTACAGGTGTCCGAAATAAGAAAGACACCATACCCTCACTCATATGGATGTTTTTGGATTCACGGTAAAAGTTTGCCGGGATTAACCAGATCAAGTGAACTGAAGCAAGCCTGTCTTTTCCAACTTTGTCGGTAATAGGTCGCCTAAGGTTGACCATCATAATTCTGATACTCACTCAGGATCCTTTATTAGATCCCTCAAGCATTCAAACCCTTTTAAATAACGTCTTTATTACCACTTTATTTTATGGACTCCGCTTTACACGTACAGAGTGTAAAACGCTACTGCTGGATCACGTAGGATCAAACTAAAGTCACATGCATGCAGATCGGTCTTGGGCAGTTGTAAAGGTAAAAATTGGTGTAGGCGAATTCGTCACTCTGGTCGACAATATTAGAGTAGCGTTCGCCAAACTAAGATATCTGTGGTGCCTGAGTGAGGTCTGTTAATATCAGAGGATACACTGCGGCGGTGCGAGCTACACTGGTTCTTTAAATCCAGATATGGAGTCCATGTCCCCTATATGTTCGCGAGCTTTGGTGGGAACATCAGATCAGTAGTGCTGAAGTACGTCAAAATGCCCTGAGGAAGATGAAGTCTACCGTAATTGATGGGCTAATCATACTCCCAAGGGTGGACTAGTTCAGCGTTGCGTTCTTTTCGCACTGAGTGAGAAGCCTTGAAAAGTGTGCTGAAAGCGTATCGCCCAGTAAGGAAGTAGAAACTCTATGAGTGGTAAACCAGGTGACGTTGCAAATAGCACCTTCAGGAGCTGCCCCCCAGAGACGCGATGCGCTGATGCTGAGACAAACAGACCAATTCTATGAGAAATGGTTTCTCCACAACACAGCGTTGAATTCCAGTTCATAGTTGTATAAACTTATATTTTATCGGAATGATTCGAAACTAATAAGTCAGTTAAGTAACTGCCTCTAAAAGGCTGCAGTTTCGTCATTCTTCTCCCACCTCCGGATGAAACTGTAGCCACCGGTAAACGAGTTGTAGCTGAGTAAGCACAGTAAAAGCGAAAGCAAAAGCGACGAAAGGAGTGGACTAACAGACAGAATCAAGGCAGTGGAAAAGTATGGCTGCATTGGTTACCCTTCTTTATGTAAAGTATCTCACTGTGAAACTTACGGCGAACGTTATATCTCGGACCTGACTGTAGGTCAGATACGATTGGATCGACTGAACTCAGTGATCCAACCACTGGATGGTCCTCAGTTATTTAAACATCCTGTACCTTTATTTTAGACGCTTCATGTTCGTTCCAGACTGGTTGTTTTTTGGCACGGCACAAGGCACAAAAGATGAAAAGAACACCGACCAACTGACCACTAGTTGCAATGAAGGGGTACACGAATTGAGCGCACAGCTAGTTGATTTTGATATGGTGGGCCTTCTCCCGTTTCCGAATTTGTCTATCACATCAGAATTCGCTGCTTAAACTTTGCATGCAATGGGTCGACTGTGCTATGGAGAACTGAACAGCTTATGTGAAAGGTGATCCGACCCGCATTACTCACAAGACACTCACAGGTGCCAATTTTTTACTGGCAGAGAAGTGACAGTGAGCAGTCACTCTGATTACCGCCGTGGGCTTAATACTCCGAAATGTCCGCTGTTAAAGCGAATCAGTTACATTATATATATATATATATATATATATAGTAGTATGACGGAATTGAACACTACGTAATAAAGTATTAAATAACGCAGGCAGAATGAATTTAAGTTGGCGGTCAAACAAGTAGCATAGCAAACCAAATCAGGGACTTCAAGTGGCGAAAAACGCGACGATCCTACAGGTTTTGGCGGTGGTACTTCCCCGGATGACAGCGGGAACTGTCTACCACGAGCATCCTAGGTTTGACTGAGAGTGCAGAAGAGAGACCATGGACGAGCGTATTTCGGTGCTCATTTCCAATTTCCACTCTAAATCTGTCTATTGTCCTCCATAATCATAATTCATTGGGCTATAGTTTCCTGGTTGCTTTTATTCCCACAGTAGATCGGATCGCAGTACAACTAAGGATTAGGTGTTATGTGTTTCGTCGGTCCAAACAGACTTTATAAAGCTATGATAAACTCAGCCATGCAGTCGTCATGTGCTCAACTGTTCGGCTTAAACTGAATCCCATCAACAGAAGGTTAAATCACCTCTACTTCTTAAATGAGTGTATGATTCTCATCTGACAAGAACTGAAAGGTCATTGATAAGCCGCTCCATCCAGAACTGTATGTGGAAGATTGATTACGTCTCTGTTCCGGAAAACATTTTAGACACCTCTGAGGGAGGTTCCCCACCCCAGAATGAACACGTCCGGTTATTTTCTACTGTGCAGTGAACTTTCGCGTCGTATAAAGCGGTGGGCTACAAGCGCTGTGCGTCAGTCTCATAAAGGATCCTATTGCTTGTGTAAAACAGTAATCAATCACAGCGGGGGAGGAAGGCCCGAACCGAACGATTTCGGCTCTAATGAAGGAACCGGTGACAAGTTCAAAAATTTCAGATTTTCTGTTGTTAAAATTCAGAGCCAACTTACTTAGATTTACTGCTTACCACTACGTCGCGAATGATAGCATTGAAACAAGCATGTATATCCGTCAGTCGGACAGCTTCCTACCGGTGCCCGATTTGTCGTCATAAATCACTCTCAAACGAATTCCTTATGTTTGGACATGCAGACAGGCTGTCTCAAAATGTGCCACATCCGCACATATCGCATTTCGGCACCTTAGTATCGAGCCAGGTCTCTCCGTAGTCTAGTTTCAGGGAAGTTTCCATACTTGCCTGGTAGTCCCAATAATTTCGAACTTCCAGGGCCCCACAGAGCGATCCTTCGATCATTCGATGTCATCTGTTTGGGAATGTGACCCAGTATAACAGGCTTTAATACAACAGGGACAGCGATGCTAGTTCCGGAGCAAAATGCTTTCTGTTCCATGCAACTATGAAAACGTGGCGGTAGAAATCGATCAATTAGTTGGATATGATGCTGGTATACTGTCATTGCCTTACTGCATGCAAGTGTGGACAATATAGCGACTTTCCTGTCCGTCACAAATAGTGATTGTTTCAAACAAGTTAAATCCTTCCAAAGTCGACGTTTCTTGATGGGCTCAAAAATAGCGTGGATCTGAAAAACATTCTGACCCAGTACCACTAACTTACAGGTTTGATAGATTTTGGTGCTTTTGAAGGACAGGTCGATGGAAAACACATGCTTCAGGAATACATATATATATATATATATATATATATATAATTTG